CTTCCTAATCAGTTTGTAAACATACTAACTGACACCACCATTGTTTAGTTCATAACTTCCTAATCAGTTTGTAAACATACTAACTGACACCACCATTGTTTAGTTCATAACTTCCTAATCAGTTTGTAAACATACTAACTGACACCACCATTGTTTAGTTCATCACTTCTTTATCAGTTTGTAAACATACTAACTGACACCACCGTTGTTTAGTTGTTCACTTCCTAATCAGTTTGTAAACATACTAACTGACACCACCATTGTTTAGTTGTTCACTTCCTAAGCAGTTTGTAAACATACTGATTGATACCATCACTGATAGCCATAAGAGACGCTGACCCTTTACATGGAGTACATCTGCCTTGCAGAAGATAGAAGTTACTGTTACTTTGCTTGTAAACTCTCATATCTATTCTCCATCTTTTCATAGTTTTCTTAAAAGTAAACCTAATGTAAATATGTAAAATCAAGCTAAAAGATAATCTGATAATCAGTAACTTGATCAAAAACTATTGGTTAATTCGTTTTAATATTTACTTACATATTTATTTTTGTTGTATCTTCAAACCAGTTACAAAATGGACTTTAGAAATTTTTCTTACTCAGGACTGAGTTTATAGTAGAACCCTGATATGTTCTTTATATTAAATCGGTTGACAAAAATATATTTTTTCCTAAGTATATTAGTTTTTATTTTAACAGTAATGGTAAACAGATACTGTTTGTTGTGTAAGTATTAATGATTAATTACTTAAAGTGACTTATTTCAGTGTACAAGAGTACAGTGGACACCCCCACTGAGAGAGAGTTTTGCCTACCCTTTGTTTCTCTGTGAGATGCTGACAGTTACCTTGACCTTGAGGTTTGCTTTTCTTTAGTTTTATTTTAAGACTTATCATTTTATAGTACTGGTGATGATGTCATAAGATTATACCACCAGAAACCCGTTGAAATGTTTTATGTTATTATTATACATATATATTTAGTATCCTTGCGTTCCTAACAACAAATTTAAGTAAGTCTCGTATCTTTTTTTTTTTTTCACTGTTTAGTTTAAATACTACTTAATTATGAATTGTTTTTTTTTAACTTTGTAGTTTATTGTCTTATATAATTATTATTTTGTTTTGGATTATGCAATGATGCTTTTCGTCTCATTCTTAATATTTACAGTAGGTGTTTTAACTAATGAAATTCGTGATATATTTGGTTTTACTTCTTCATTCATAGAGTGGTCTGTAATAGACTTCTAAACCACCACCCCTCACTCTCTTCTAGAATATGTATCCAAGAGTCCCACAATTTGGTTTGATTAGCCCAAAAATCTAGTAGTTCCAAATTAGAGAAGATTAATACAGATGTTCCAGGAAGACTCCGGTGTTGTTGTTGTGAAACATAGCGGTGTTTCTTGTCACCACTACAAGTTAACATTATGTTGTGGTGAAACATAGCGGTGTTTCTTTCACCACTACAAGTTAACATTGTGTTGTGGTGAAACATAGCAGTGTTTAATCTCATCACTACAAGTTAACATGGTGTTGTTGTGGTGAAACATAGCGGTGTTTCTTGTCACCACTACAAGTTAACATTGTGTTGTGGTGAAACATAGCAGTGTTTAATCTCATCACTACAAGTTAACATT